GCGGATGGGAGGCAGGAGGCCAGACAGACCGTTGCCAGCCCCGCACACGGGATGGCTGACTCAGAACAGGTCAGGGCAGGGGTGCCAGCCATGTCGGGGGAGCTAGAAGCGGTGGCTGCGCGTGCTGGACTACCGCTGGCGAGTGGGGTCGTTGCTGGGTCAAGATGTGCCGGCAGGACGCGTGCCTTTCCCCTGCGGCGGGGGGCCCTTTCCTATGCCTTTGGCGGCCTCAGCGTTTTGCCTCTTCTTTTCCATCTCACGCTCCCACTCGGCGTCCCAGTCGACGTGGATGCCCGCGTACCTGCAGAGGGCACGGGCATGGTAGTTGGCCTGGGTGAGGTCGGACACGGCACTCTCGCAGAAGTCGTCTGTGTGCCGGACGGGATCCTTGGAAAAGTATTGCCCCAGTTCATGACGCACACACACACACACACGCACACACACGCACACACACGCACACCCACGCAAGCACACACACACACACACACACGCGGCGCGCGCCCGCCCGCACGCACGCGCACGAGCACGCGCACGCGCACGCGCACGCGCACGCACACGCACACGCACACGCACACGCACACGCACACACACGCACACACACGCACACCCACGCAAGCACACACACACACACACACACACACGCGGCGCGCGCCCGCCCGCACGCACGCGCACGAGCACGCGCACGCGCACGCGCACGCGCACGCACACGCACACGCACACGCACACGCACACGCACACACACACACACACACTCACTCACTCACTCACTCACTCACTCAATCACTCACTCACTCACTCACTCACTCACTCACTCACTCACTCACCAACGCACACACTCACTCACCAACGCACACTCACACACACACACACACGCACGCACACTCTTGGCGTCGCGTGACGCCCCAGAGACAGCCCAAGAGCGCCCCAATGCTATCCCAGCCGGCCCCCGACGGCTCTGGAAGCCTCCAAGAGCACTCAAGATCGCCCCAAGAGGCTTCGAGAGTCCCCCAAGAGCTCCGCGAAACCCACGAGAGGCCAAAATCATTGAAAAACCAATGAAAAGCAATCATTGTCTGTTTTCTCGCACTTCCGCCTCCGACACGCTTCCGATGCTTGAGCATTGCTCGCAAGTGAGCTCCAGCAGGCTCCCAAGAGGCATCCCGAGCGGCGCGAAGTGGCCCCAAGAGGCCACAAGAGGTTCCCATGACGCCCGATTCAGCACCACAGAGGCCCCAAAGACGCTCCGAGCATGCCCCAACGAGCTCCCAGGAGCCGCCCCGGACGCACCCAGCGCCGAAGAGGGCCCAGAGAGGCCCTCAAGGGCTCCCAAGAGGCCCCCAGGAGAGCTCCAAGATGCCACCAAGAGGCGTTCCGAGCGGTTCATGGGGGCACGCGCAAACCTCAGAAGCGCATCTTAGGCAGAAGTGCAAGAACACAAAAATCGCAGATGTTCATTAGGTTTGCAGTGATTTGGGCTTCTCGAGTGATTCCCCAGAGCTCGTGGGGGACTCCTGGAAGCTTCTTGGGGCGATTTTTGGTTCTCTTGGGGGCCTCCAGAGCCAACTTGAAAAAAAATAATTGTCTCAAATCATTAGTTTTCAAGTTCGATCCCCCCTCCTGTTCCCTCGAGTGCGTATCCGAGTCCCCCATCCCTCGGTTTCCTATCTTTGTCCTCTCTGCTGCTTTTGGTTTTCCTGCGACTCCCGTTTCACACCAGCCTCCTTCCTCTTCGTCTCTCTTTCGCGCCATCCTTTCTCTGCCTCCCTTATGCGATTTCTTCTCCCCCATCCCTCATCCCCATCTCTCCTTTTCCCCCTCCCTCCAACTGCCTCTCTCGACCAGCATATTGCTCCACTGTGTGGAAGGAGGCCCAGCTTGACAATAAAAGAGAAATCCCTGACATCTTTTTTTGAAGGTCTACCCCATTCGATATTTCGATCCCAGACGCCAAGGGCTCCAGAAAGATCCCCGAGACGCGCCCAAGAAGTCCCAAGAAGCCACTAGGAGACCCCCGACAAAAACTCAAGAGACCCCACCCTCAGGAACCCCCCAAGAGCCCTCCAAGAACGTCCCCCAAAGGCATCCAAATAACTCCCAGCATGGTTTTGCCAGGCTGTTAGGGGCTCTCGGGCATCCCCCCTCAGGCTGCCCTGGGTCCTCCACATGACTGCCTTGCGCGCCGTCCTGGAGCCTTCCTGGGTGCTTTCCAGAAAACAGCTGGGGGAATTGCCCTGCCGCATACCTAAGGCGCGAAGTCGTGCTGGACGTCGCCTCTGCAAGAAGAGTGAGCCCCGTCATCTGTTTGGCACAGTATATCGTACATCATCTTGACGCTTCCCAGCAAGGCACAGTACGGCCTACGGGATCCCCAAGGCCGCGCCCGATACGGCTTCAATTGACTTTGGCAGTCTTTAGATGGCTTGAGTTGCCCAATATCATTGGCCCCCAGGGTTACCTAGGGACCTCCCAACCAACTACGAGATAGTTCGAGGGACCTTCGAAATGCCCAGGATATCTTCAAGACCGCTGAGGACGGTCCACAGGGCACGAGTCCCCGAAGCCTCCCAGAAGTTACAGACTGTCCGAGAGGCCCTCAAGAGCTCCCAGGAGGCCCCCCGGCGAGCTCCAAGATGTCACCAAGAGGCGTTCCGAGCGGCTTTTGCGGGCACGCGCAAGCTTCGGAAGCGTATCTTGTGCGGAAGTGCAAGAACACAAAAATCGCAGATGTTCATTAGGTTTGCAGTGATTTGGGCGTCTCGAGTGATTCCCGGGAGCTCGTGGGGGACTTCTGGAAGCCTCTTGGGGCGATCTTTGGTGCTCTTGGGGGCCTCCAGAGCCAACTTGAAAAAAATGCGCATTTTCCTCAATTTATGGTTTTTGTTCAAGTCCGACCGACACCCCGTTCCCCAGTGTGCGTTTCCGTTTCCACCATCCGTCGCTTTCCTCTCTTTGTTCTCTCTTTTGCTGTTGGTTTTCCTGCGACTCCCGTTTCGCACCAGCCTCCTTCCTCGTCTCTCCTTCGCGCCATCATTTCTCCGCTCCCCTGGTGCGATTTCGTCTCCCCCATCCTTCATCCCCATCTCTTTCTCACGCCTTCCTCCCTCCGCCGCTTTCCCACAGCATCCTGCTCCAATGTGTGGAAAGACCCAGCTTGACCAAAAAGGGGAAATCCCTCAAATCCCTTTTTTAAGCTCGACCCCATTCGACATGTCGAGCCCAGACGCCAAGAGCCCCAGGGAGGCTCCCGAGCAGCGCCCAAGAAGTCCCGAAAGGCCACCGGAGCCTCCCGAAGTCTCCCAAAAGTTACCCTCGGGCAGCTGCTCGGTGTATCTGCTCAGAGCGCAGGATCTCTCAGGGCCTGCTTATTCAGCGACTACTGAAGTTTTCATCTGGAAGTACGCTCCCGTATGGTGATCCTTGCGGGATGATATTATTATCTTCCGATCCTGTGAGGTTGGCTTGGTCTGCTCTAGAACCTGAGCGCGCGCGAAGCGCGCGCGTGTGTCTCTAGTGTGCATATATATATATATATATGTATATATATATATATATATACATATACATGTATACACGAATGTGTGTGTGTGTCTGTGTGTGCGTGCGTGCGTGCGTGCGTTGTGTCTGTGTCTGTGTGTGTGTGCGTGCGTGCGTGCGTGCGTGTGTGCTTTGTGTGTGTATGTTGTGTGTGTTGTGTGTGTGTCTTGTGCGTGTGTGCGTGAGTGCGTACGTGCGCTGTTTGTGTGTGTGTGTGTTTTGTGTGTGTGTGTGTGTTTTGTGTGTGTGTGTGTGTTTTGTGTGTGTGTGTGTGTGTGTTGTATGTGTTGTGTGTGTGTGGGTGTGTGTTTGTGTGTGCGTGTGTGTGTACGTGTGTGTGCGTGGGGGGGTGGGATCTCGTTCTCGGACCACCTGAAGCCTCCAGACAGAGTCCTGCAGAGTTTTCCGGACATTCGAGGTCGGAGTACATCAGTTCCGTGTGTCCTTTCGCGGGCCTTTGGGAGCCTCGTCCTTCAGAAAGGCTTCCGGAGACCTCCCCTCCTATCCAGCGCCACGATGCAGTTGCGGCGGCAGGATCAAGCGCACACCGGCCTCAAGAGGCTCGTTTCCAGCCCCAGGACCGTCAAAGACGACTGAATGTGAAACGCCAGTCTTGGGCAAGGAGGGGTCACGAGCCCGTGGGGCCCACATCACGAGCAAGTCACGACGTCGGGGGAGAAGGTCCTCCCGCCCCTCCCAAGGGGGGAGGCTCCTCCTGACAGAGAGGATCCTCCTGCTGCTGCTGCTGCTCTTCCTCTTTGAGGCTTTGGTCAAGGGAGGAAAAACCACCCGGACCCGACAATTGGCGGTCACTAAACGGCCTTGGGCGTTTACTAAACAACCCTTCCCTGTTTGATTCCTTATTTTGATGCGTTTACTTACCGGCTTCGCGTGTTGGGGTGATTATTATGGGGGTGGATTGTCTGCCCTCTATTCGGCACGTTTCGAATGTTCTCAGCTTTGGAGGGGAGCCTCCAGGGGCTTCCAGAGATCCCCCCGAGGGGACACACCGCGAGACGCGCCCAGCGACCTCCGGGGGGCCTCCGAGGACGACCTCTGGGGGCCGCCTCGGGAGGTGCCCGCGTGCCATCGCCAGCTTTAAGGCGGGCGTGTCCCGCTACGGGAGGAACATTCCAAAGTAGTCAAAAAATGGTCAGGGGACGATGTTTTGACTAGTTTTGGCTCTTTGTTGGGTATTTTTGTTTACTTTCATATTTGTCACCCAAAATCCGCCTGCAGGGGACATGCCCGACCTAACGCCAGCCAGGAATTGGACCCTCGGCTCCCTGGAGGCGGGGCTGGCGAACTCCACGTGGGCGCTCTCGGCCATGACGGCCTCTGTGCACCAGGCCTTCGGCCTGGCCGGGGACGGCGCCGAGGGCGCCCCTCTGCTGTGGTCGGTGCTCGTGCGCCCGGTCTGGCTGGTCGTCTCGGTGCTGTTGGCGCCCGTGCTGTGGGCGATGGAG